TTCTCTGATTATACTCTACGGATATCTCTAAGTCTAAAAGTCTGATAATTCTTGTACAGGGTAAACATTTTGTTATGTCTGATCCACACATACTGAATAGTAGGATTTAGTTTAAAAGCTAATTCTATTGTTGTACCTTATAGTGTCTAGGAGGCTATTGAATTTGAATTTCATTTTTTAATTATTTATTTCTTATTTTTGTTTATTTTATTTTTCTTTAAATAAGAGATCTTCTACTCAACACTTGTGTTATTTAAAATTTGCTATAGCTTGGTAGTTTTTAGTAAATTTTATTACAACATATATATTATTTAACTTTTTTAATACATATACAAAACTTGTAATTTAAAATAAAAATAAATTAAAAAATGCCAAAACAAAATAAATGTACAAGACAGTCTCGAAAAGCCACTATCACATATTGGAAAAATAAATCTTCTTCACAACATATTAAATCAACTAATAATGTTTTCAATGAACCTATAGTACTTGATCCTATCAACCAAAATCTATCTACAGTTAATAGTTCATCCAATAAGACTCTTAATAGTAGTATTAGTAATGATAATTCTATATTATCATCATTAAACACACAATTGAAAACAGAAACTATCAATCTAAATCTTAATACAACAAGGCAATTTTTCTATCTTGTCCAAAAAGGGTATACAAAGATGGAGGCAAGTAGCATTCTAGCTAAAAGTTTAGGTAAAGGCCCATAGCATGCATGATGTATTCATACCTGAGCAAATCAATAGAAGAATTACAAAGAATTAATAAAATCAAAACGTGAACAACATATAAAAACAAAATCTTTAATACATAATAAGAGTTTTTGGCTTCAAATACATCAGTATTTGGAAAAAATAAATTTAAATTAGCTATTCCAAATTTTATAACCTACATTAGTAGTATTATGCCTACTTTTGGAATTACAAATATAATTATTAGTAGATCAACTGCATGCAGATGGTTAAAATTGCTTGGATAGAAATATCAAACTCATTCAAAAATATTTATTTTGATGGTCATGAACGTGAAGATGTGATAGAATATCGAAACTATTTTTTGCAAGAGATGGCTAAATTACGAACCCGAATGACTACATATGAAGGTAAAAACTTAGACCATATTATCTTACCAAAACTTTCTCCTGGTGAGGTTGAAATTGTTCCTGTTACTCATAATGAGAACTATTCTTTATACAAATGATGGTATGAATAAGTATTGGAGTCCAATAGATAAATATAGTCTACAAAAAAAATCACAAGTAAGAATTATAATTAGCTATATAGTATTTTTTAGTTGACTATATAATTAGTTGACTAAAATTTTTAATTATTAACCAATTAACTAATTTTTAATTTTTATGTATTCATAATTACAGGGTCTCAGTATTCATATTAGTAATTTTTATTGTGAATCTATTGAACGTCTCAAACTTTCAGAATATGAAAGTTCTATAAATAAATTACTTCCTAATTACATGCGTCTTAAATATATCCAAGCATGTGTTACTATTTATCCAGGTATAAATCGTAATAGGTGGTGGAAAAGTGATGATTTAGTTGATCAGGTAATTAAACATGCTATACCTATATTTGAACAAACACATTCTAACAAAATAGCTCTATTCATGTTTGATAATAGTAACAATCATGGTTCATTTGCTAAAGATGCACTTTTGGTCTCATGGGTGATGGTACAAAAAAACTACTTCTTCGTAATGGTGTAAAACCTGATAATACTGAGCATATAATGACCTATATAGATATGAATAGTGAAGTAAGACCAAAGAAAATTAAACAAGTTCTTGAAGAACAAAATTTATGGATACCAGGTCTTATAAAAAAGTGTAATACATGTAAAAAAACTAAGCCTGATCCAAACAACTTAAACTGTTGTGCTTCACATATTCTTTCAGCTCAACCTGATTTTACAACTCAAAAATCACACATACGAGAGGTAATAAATTTTTTTTTTTAAAAAAAAAAAGATTTGTTAATGCCACCCCTTACTTTTGCTAATGCTACCTCCTTTATATAAAATATTTAATCTTTGACCTTTCAGATCCTAATTATAATTAGGGTTAGATTATGTAAGGGGTGGCATTAACAAAAATAAAGGATGGCATTAACAAGTCTCAAAAAAAATTATTTAAAATCAATTTACTTATATATATATAAATAATTTAGGTAATTGAAGCTGCTGGCCATATGTGCATCTTTTACTCTAAGTTTTATTGTGAACTTAATTACATTGAATCTGTTTGGGCTGATATAAAACATTATGCAAGACTTAATTGTAATTATACTTTCAAGGGCCTCAAAAAAACTGTTTCAAGAGCATTAGATTCTATTAATTTAATAAAAGTTCGCCGTTTTGCTCGCTATTCTGCACGCTTTATAAGTATCTATAAACTTGGACTTACTGGAAAAGCTACCACCTTTGCAGTAAGAAAATATCATTTTCATCATCGAGTTCTGGAAGATGTTCTTGAAGAATTTACTCGTGACTAAGATATTTTAAGATATTTTGGTTTTTCTTCTTTTCATTCTGAAAATATGTATTTAAACATCAAGATATATATATAACATAAATATATGTATATACGATTTAAAAAATAAAATAAAATCTTGCAGAAGGTTGTGAAATCTAAAAGTCTTTCATCCTAATTTTACATACCATTGTGTAGGCAAAGATCTTTTGCTGGCTTTTTTTTTTGGAGTTAACTTTATTGGTAAGTTTCGAAAAATCACGAGAATATATACGAATTACTTTAAACTGTACGTATAAAATTGGCTAAACCACAATGCCGATCATATAAATTTGGGTTTAACTGTCACATTTTAAATTTGCTATGTATGTAAGTAAAGATAGTTCATTAAAAAACTAATCTAAAATTTTACCGGCGTGTGGTTAATAAGGTGGGTGGTTAATAAGGCTATGTATTATAGAACTTGTAATGAAAAGACAGCCTCGAGCCGAAAAAAGCAACCCAACGTTTTATCGCTTGGCTTTAATGATATTAGTATAAAATTTTCAAACATGTATATTGTGTACGTATACGTAGAAGATATTTAAATATCTATTTGTCAATAATCTTGATTGTAAACTGTGATTAGGTACCAAATCAATATGGTGTTATAGTAGAATACGAAAATTCATGCACAGATTATATTATACGCTTACCAGCATTGAAAAAGCTTTATTCTAGGTAAATACGTAGTCTGATCTGATTATAATAAAATAAACCCATAAAGTGTATAAGGTTGAATAGTATAATATTTTGTAGGTTGGTGAGAAAGCAATGACTTATTTATTGAAGAATAAATCAATATTTATTTATCTTTCAAATAGTTCTTATCTTCAAGTAACCAGTAAGAAAGTACAACTTTCTTTATTATCAATTAGGTATTGCAATTAGTGAATTATCTAAACCGAATATTGATCTTCAAAATTCCAAATGTTATCAAAAAATTTCTAAAAATACCATCTCATGAAGCTTTGAAGAAGTGTCATCTCAAGAACTCTTTAAAGAAGAACGAACTTTTGAAAGGGTGCTATCTCAGAAAACTTTTGAAGAAACGACACCTCAAGATATATATAGGGAAATACAGCATAAACCTGAAATTTTCATCTCAGATTTGGAAATCTTGAATGATGAGGCATCATTTCAAGTAACTTCTAAAGGAAAAGACATTTTTAAAGGATTTTCATCTCAGGAAACTTTTATCGAGAGAATGCCACAAGATATGTATATAGATTTAGAAAATTTGAACAATATGATGTCATCTCAAGAAATTTTTAAGGGAAACCGATTTTTGAAAAGGTATCATCTCAGGAAACTTCTACAAAAATGATACCACAAGATTTGTATATGGACGTACATGAGTCTAAAATTTTCATCCTGGATCTTGAAAATTTGAATGATGTGAAATATTCACCAAAAGTAACAGTAAGTCTTATATATAATAGGTATTGTGATAATTATAGAAATGATTTTATAAGTAACGTTCTCTGGTTATATTTTATTGATTGAATTAATAAAATATTCACTGGTTAGCCAAAAAAGCGGACTCTAGATAATTCCTATTCACAAGATAAAGAAATTTCTAAATTCATCAAATACAATAACGGTGATAGTGCTAGAACTTTCTGGGAATCAAATACTGATTTGTCAGAAAATTTATCTCTTAGCAATATCAAAATATACAATAAAATACCCGATGACCAAAAAATAAGAATTATAAAGATATAATATTGTATATATATAAAAATAATTATATAATAATATAAATAAGAGGTGTAA